TATTAATAAATAGTTAATCCACTGAGATTAGGAGAGTTCAAGAGCTATAAAACTCATCTGATGGAAGGAAACAGATCTGCTGCTCAGTCAATTGGTGCACTCCTGTTATTAACAGAGTGCTATAAGAATTCTGTCTCATCATCACTTCACCTCTCCTCTTGGCAGAACGACAAAATTCTCCTCAGAAAGTGCATAAGGTTTGAATTCATAATATATGTTGAGGTCTCCTAGATTTCAGTCCCAATTTTATTAGTTTAAAAATGTTTTTAAATAGAAAAATACAAATCTGAATACTATTCTTTAGTAAAGCCTTACCAGATCTGAGATACTGAAATTCATATATCTGACATTAGTTTCCTGCAATGGTAGTATGTTTAGATGCATTAGATATACAACCATTCTTTTATGAACATCAGTTCTGCCTATTATTTTCTTTATGTTGCCTTACAGAGGCTATGTCATGGCATTTCATTTTCCTTCCAATATCCCATTAAAAATTCACAACCTATTTTGATATCACAAGAATAATTTTTGGTCATGTTCTTCCATACTGTATGAACTGAAACAAACAATAAAGTATCTGTTGTTCAATTATTCTTTTCACTTTTCCAGCAAAGGAAGTGAAAAAAGCCCCCATGTTTTTGGAGAAGCTTCAGAACTGTGGTATTCCTGAAGGGTACCCTGTCAGATTAGAGTGCAGAGTTGTGGGAATGCCACCCCCCATATTTTACTGGAAGAAGGATAATGAGACCATCCCGTCAAACAGAGAGAGGATGAGGTACTGTACCATCATATCCATGCATGGAGTTTCTTGTGTCTGAACCAATTGTTTCCTTGAAAACCTGTGTGATAAGTACAGGTGGTGGTATTCTTAAAACAATTTCTTTTTTTCCACATGAAGTTGTAAAAAGCTGGCTTCACTGTGAGGTGAACAATAGCTACTTCCTTGGTTGAGAATAAAGGCATGGAGCATAACATGCCACTGATTTGGAGAGTGGTGATAGACTTTTTGGCCCATAGGCCTGATACAGCATATGCAGCTTCTTACTAAAGACACTATGATATGGTATTTTAAGGCATTTTAGCAACTTACGCTTTCTCTCAACTATTTTTTCCTCTCAACTATTTTTTCATAGTTCTAACTATGAATGAATTCAAACTCAGAACAGTTAGAACATGGTTGTGAATTCCCCAGAGAATGGAATAATAGAGAGTTAGCATACCAGATACAAAGGCTGATAACAAAGTTTGGTCACAGACATAGGCAAAGACTTTGATCCCTGCTTACAAAATAGAACAATGTTCAGGTTCAGATCTTGCATTCAAATGCATCACTATTTTTTAGGTTTTGCAAAAGAAAAGCTATGAAATAATGTGTCTGGCTGTAATTAAAGAGAAAATTGCTTTCATTTATTTTTTAAAGATTTCTACTTCAACATAAATCTTATTTTTAATATTTTATTTTACTTGGCTTCAACTAATGATTGGATTTTGACTCATTGCATCTCCCAGATCAGCTTCAAGTAGTACTACATTTTTACGCGCACACCCTGCAGGCTTTCTGTAAAGAAAGCTGGTGCCGCAGCAGCACTTTTTCTGAAGGCACACCTATCACAAGGTGTGTTTCAAGCTTACTTGAAAGTATCTCTGTGGTCTCCCTGTCCCCATTCAGAGATTACTGCGCCTCTCCAAGAAGTCCACCTGACTGATCTTCTGTAGCCTGTAGTCTATTCCTCTGCCTTTAAGTATATTACTCAAATATATATTTCAAATACTGGTACTTTCACAGGAATTATGGTTACACACATGGGAAACACTGTAGTTAATCTAAAATGATCAACTGTCCTGAAAAGCCTCATTTCCAGTTGTTTCACAGAAGCTTAGAAAACAAGTTTTTGCTTCAGCTTAGCAGAAGAATATCTAAGGGAAACCTCCCACACCTCACAAAGCCAAGAGCTAACATTAGGTTTGTAACAACTCTGCTATTTCGGCCAGTCATGACCAAACTGCCTGCCCCCAAGGCTTCAAGTGCTTTTACACAGGTCCGTGTGAGTGATGGGCAGCATTGTCCTTGTTTGTCCCTAACTTGCATCACTATTATTTTCCTGCCTAAAGCTAAGAGACCTTTTTTTGTATCATGGTGTGGGCCTGCATGAGCTTCTATACTAGTACACCCCCAGCATAAGGCATATTATGTAGTGCAGAGAGCAAAGGGTGAATGTTCCCTTTTTCATTAGAGCTACTGGAAGCAGAAAATGTCCTCTTGGCCTGAAATTCTCTGGTTTGTTTTTTCATTCCAGTTCATAAGAAAAGAAAACCTCAAGTTTCAGAACTTCCTGTCACTTCAAATATTTTAATGTACTTATCTCCCAGCTCTTCCTTAATAATAAGGGAATCACTTGGGTTGATAATAAGGACCAACCACAACCTATAGAGCAGAGGAGCCTTAGTTCTCTGATATACTACCAAATAGTTTTTCCTGGAAATTGCAGCCTGGAAGTCTGAAATCACTGAAGAGCAAAAGAAGAGGAGGGAAAAATGAAGCAGGTTTCTTTAAGAGTGTTGGCCAAACAAATCTTTAGGATTCTGCCACTCAGTCATTTTCTCATGGAAAAGGGTGCCATAAGAAAATTTCTGAGTGGCTCTCATTACAGTTGTGAAGAATATCACAACTTTCTAGAAATGTTCTTGGTATTTTGTTACATTATTCTTCTAGCTTCCAAACTAGGTAAAAATACAACAGGACGTCACAGCAGCTTTGCACGGGTTTAAGTTCATTAGAGTTCAATAAGAAATTCCAATATTAAAACATAGAGAGTAACAATTTAGCTCACACTGTCACATGATGTCTTTGCACAACTGGAAGGAGGAAGAACAAATTTCAATTAGTCTGGTCACTGGTTGAGGCCATACTGAAAACAAATCTACTGACTAAAAATGTCTTGGACTGCTACCTCTCTGAGAATAGAAGCTGTGACTTACCTATTACATAATTAATGTACATACTGTAAAATCTCAAAGTTTTTATGTTCTTGAGAAATACTAATTCCAAAACAACTATTTTCCCAGCATGCATCAAGATACAACAGGCTATGTCTGCCTCCTCATTCAACCTGCCAAGAAAGCAGATGCTGGCTGGTATACCTTGTCTGCAAAAAATGAAGCTGGTATTGTCTCTTGTACTGCTAGACTTGACATATACGGTAGGTATTGGCTAGTAAATCAAACAAATCAGAATTTATTTTCTTTGGCTGGTCCCAGTAATAAAACATAAAATGTATTCCCCAAACTCTTGGATTATAACTATAATCTCAAAAAAACCCAACCAACAACCAACCAACCAACCAAACCAAAAAGCCCCATGTTTTCAACCTTATATTTCTTGTCTAAAAAACCAAACCAAACCAACCAACCAACCAAACAAACAAAAAACCCATACCAAAACCAAACAAACCTCAATTATCAGAGATAACTGCAAATCATCAGAGCATCTCTGTCAGTTTTCTGCCACCTTGTGGTGATATAGACAATATCAATGTAATGTTCAAGAGAGGGCTAGTAGAGTCATTCAGAAAAGGTCACATAAAATGAAAAATAATTCCTTAGGTATCTAAATGTTGCAAGACATAAATTAAACTTTAACACGAAGAATTCAAGGTACAAACAGGAAAAAGATGGCAAGTATGAAATGCTTCCTGATTCCAACCATATTTTCTAATGGCTCTACAAGCCTTATACACCAAGGAGTGACAGGAATCATTTTTCTCTGTGCTATTCTGAACGAATGGGGTTGGAGGATTAAAAGAGTGGTCTGGTATTTGGAATTTCATGTACAAAGAGAAAGTACAGTAAATAATGAGTATATTGTTCACACAGAAACAAACTGGGGGCTGCAAGAAAAAAGGATGCTCTTTTTCAAATATTTCCAGAGAGACAGGGTCAAAATTCAGCATGGAAAGACACTTCCTATCAATGCTTCAGAAGCAGATTGTGGGTCCCATGTTATTCTTGGAGTTTTTAGCCTGAACTACCCCTTCATTTCAATTGGTCACAGATATGCTTGTCCCGTTTGGGTGCAGACATGGAGGTTTTGTATCGATAAATACCAGCAATGATAATATTAATTTCCCCTTCTGAAGTGTTTTAAGAATTATAACTATTATACATTATATAGTAGCTAGATATTCCTACAAAACTATAACTGTATTTGTTCATATGGGAACATGCTGAACGTCACTTTCAAATTACTGAATCTTTGGATTACATTTCTTTCAGTATCTTTAAAAAAAATCTAGGAAACTTGTTACTAGTTGTAAGTAGTAGAGGGAAATAATACTTGTAATCACTTCTTTAAATAAAATGCCTATATTACTACTTTGAAATTAAACACCACCCAAAAAACCAAAATAAATCATGAAGCAAAGTCCCCCAAAGGACAGAGTAGTACAAAATCCAAAATCAAAGCCATGTCCAGTTTGTTCATCTCTATTCATGCTATGGTATGGTTTTGGCTATGATTGCAAGAGCTTTGGAGAAGGCTCCAAAGATTAAATGACTGAATTTTGGACTTAGTAAAATCTATGTAACCATTACCACTGAACTGAACGGGGATGAAATTCCATCTGTGGACTTTAATAAAAATACTCAACGTATAAACTACATAAATGATAATATTTGAAGGAACAGACCTGAAAACAGGGAGCCACAATGCTGTACTCTGTCCAAAGATGTTGAAAGCAACTTTTAGTTGTGTGCACTGATTTCTGTTGTTTCATTGATAACTTAATGAGAGGTTTATACAGCCTATTCTGTTTCTGTTGCTTCAGCTCAGTGGCATCGTCAGATTCCACAACCAATAAAGCTTCGATCTGGTGGCAGCCGGTATGCAAGCCTTACTGGTCAAGGACTTGACATTTTTTCTGCCTTCCCAACTACTGAAAGCCCTATGCTGTTTTCATCACCAACCCAAAAGGTGGTGGAGAGTGAAGAACTTTGAAAAACAATTGTTCCAGTTACACCCGCAGAGATACTAGAACTGCTGGGGGGGGAAGGGGAAACAAACCCAAACACACAAAATAAATAAAAACACAAAAGAGGTACAAGTCAAGATGCTCAAGGTTTACAAACAACTTGTTTGTAATTAAGTGTACTGCTGCAGCAAATGTTGCAAGTAGCTTACCATACAAGATTTTTGCATATTATTTTCCTGCAGGATAATTGTGGTATGGAGTGTCGTGCAATAAATTCAGTACTGTGTAGTTTGCTAAGAATTACATAGTAAACATAGTTTTCAGCACTTAAAAGCCAATACCACTTTTACTGCTTGAATTAAAACTACCATACTGTAGCAAGCCATGTTAAGGATTGATGATTAGCTGGAGTACTGCCAGTGAAAACATTGACATTACAACAACAATAATCTTGAATGAAGGTAAACAACAAGACTTTGAATGTAATGCTAAAAGACATGCCAGAAAATCACAAAGCACAAGTCACAGGGAAAAGATGTAACTCATTTTTATATATTATTATACCAATAATCTTTGAATTTTTGAACTCAAGACTAGATAAATATAGTGTTTCATGTAGATGCAGCTGTATACCCTATATATTTATATTTGTGTGTGTGTGTTTACTCCATGAACTGTGTACTCACGGTGTAAGGATTCATAAAGTAAGGGACCGGGCACATGCATAGGATGCTAACATAGGAAACCAAAATTCCTGTTGTCTGAAGCATGTTCTCAGGAGCCCATAGCTGAAACGGTTTTCCAGATGTGCTTCATATTTTTTTCTTTGCAATGTTAATGATATTCTGCCTTCAAACACAGATGATATCAAGTTTGTAACTCTGTGGTTTTTAAATACTGTTTAATACCATTTCCTGATTTTTAACATGAGTAAATTAAAAAGGCGTCTGCCATCTAGCTCGTTTTTTAACTAACTGAAAAGGAATTATGATCTAGTCAAATTTAAATTTTCACCATCATTAAGGAAATGATCACAAATGTGGTGCCTACTATAAAGAGAAAATTCTGTTAATATACAAAAGTTATGAAGTTAAGCAACAGTTATGTGCAAAGAGCTAAAAAGCCTACTGTAACTGATAGTAGTAATAAATAAGGTAATTTATTGAAAGTACAACAGAAGGTGTTAAATGACAACACTTAATGATTGTTTTAAACATATTTATCATCTACACAGTTGTATTAATACCTCCCAGCGCTTAGAATCTGTGAATATCTAAGATTATTTCCTGCACCTTTAAATTACTGCGATCTTTCTTCTTTGGAGATTGTTTTCAAGCAGTTCTTACTGCTTTCAACATGGCTCGAGAATGCAATGAAGTCCTAATCAAAGTCACAGAGATTAAGAGGAAAATTTATAGGCAGTTTCATTTTAGACCTTATTTGGATTTTTTCAAATTAAAAATGTAACTTTAAAAAAATTGCATATGAAAAGAAAATAATGAAGTGTTCTATTTAGAGCAAAGAGATACTGCATATAGCCAGAGACTGAGAAAGAGATAGCCTTTCACTGGATTTCCTACAAATACAGGTTATGTTGTTTCTAACTGTTGGTTCCCTAAGAATTTAGTGGAAGTTAATTTGTTCCACTTCCCACGTGAGTGAAGACCATAAAACAAAACCATCATTACAACATTCATGCTTTTCTTACAAATCTCAGATGAGTCACCCCAGACCAAATAGATGAGGAAACTCAAATCCATTCTTATCCTGGGAGACAAAACAATGTGCAAATATTTCAGTGGGAAAGCAGAAATACCAGTTGTTGCCTGTGTAGTACCTCTTCCCTGGAAAACAAAATAAAACTAGTAGCTATTAAAAGTTATGCATTGATTCAAGTGACTTCAATTACAGGGTGCCGAATTTAAGACATTGTGGGTCTGATTTTCTAGGCTAAAGAACCTACTGTTCCTCTATCTTCACTTGTTTTTAGGACAGCTTAGGCATTCCAAAACTAAACCTAGACTGAGTCAGAGCTGGACAGCCCAAAATTTAAAGTTTGCCATATTAGTAACTACTCCTGTGAAAATAGTCCAAGGAAAGTCATTGGGTTTTGCTTGTTTAATCAAGTGCTGTTAGGAAGTAGAAAGTGAGGAAATTAAGACACAGAAGATCAAATTCTACTCCCATGTACAGTGCTGTTCTTCCCATTATTTCATGCCAGAACTGAAGAGTAGATTTTGATCCAAAGTATTGCAGGCTGTCTATCAGCCATCAGGTTTTATACCTAGCACAGGCTTAGTCAAAGGATTGTCTGCTTAGAACTCCCCTGTGGCCCCTGTGCCTGGCTTTGAGTGAGGGGCTGGACAAGATGACCTCCAGAGGCTCCTTCAGACCTAAATCACTCTATACTTCCTAAATTATTTTACTTTCCACTGCCTCTCTGAATACCCTATGTGGATTAAGTTACCCATTGACTGAGTAGAAACTAAGAATTCAAGTAAGTACAACCTTTTCCTTTTTAACTAGGCTATATCCTATGAGGCAATTCTAGCTACAAAGTGAACACTTTAATCAGAGATCTTTACGCAGTTTAGAAAATAAGAAATACTTACTATTAGCAAATAACTGGTTACCAGTGCTGGAATCATACTTTTTAATATTCCTGACAGTAGTAGTGGTTCTCCCATTTTACATCATCAGACAACACCCCCAAAAAACTCAGTACAAATTAAAAGACAAAGTGCACAGAGAAAATATGTAAACCACATCTCTTCAACCTTTTCTTCGTGATTTCAGTGGAATGCCTCCAAACTTGTATCATTCTAACCTGAACTGACAAGATGAGGATGAAATGGTACAGAGCTTCTTTTAAATGAACATTCAGTCCTTTGGAAGTTGGAGGACAAAGCCTAGTGCTGAAATATTTAAGAAAAAAAAACACCTGTGCAAGAAGGATTAATCCTTAGTCATTTAGGAAGAGGCCCCAGAAGTTTCCCTGAGAGGTAGCCTACAGGAGTGGACCACCAAAATTTGTCAGCTGAACTATAACATTCTCTCCTTGACAGTATTTACTAGCAAAAGCATCAAAACTTTACCCATGACATCTCCCTACACAATGCAGAAATCGGTAATTTCAATTACTTTTGGTACATCTGATACAAACAAAATCAGAGTCTGATCCCAAATGTTCTGTAGTCATTTTGCTTGTTAACTGCTACAGGACATTTCTCCTCTGCATGTACTGAGCCCATAAAAGGAGTATGTAAAGGAAGCTGATGTGGATGGATGTAAATACTGTTCATTAGTAGTACTGATGTGCTCATCACAAAGACAACTTGCTAGAAAAGGACAAAAAAATTATGTTGATGTTGTTAACTGATGGAAAAGCCATGGGAAAAAGGCTTGTGTAAGCAGTGGAGACAACACTGAGCTGTCACAAAACATGCAATGCTGTTTGAGATATGTCCTGTGGAGGATGGCACTGTCTTATCACTTGAGATTTGCAACTGTACTCCCTGAACAGCTTGGCTGTTCATTATTTTTGTTTAACTGAGTAACTGATTTGACTTCACACTTGCATGGTATTTCATTCTATTATTCAGGGCAGGGTACTGCAACAAGAAAAATCAATATTAGAACTTCCACTGAAGTCAGTGTTAGCTACATTCTTTCAAAAGTCCATTAAATCACCACGATGTTGAGCATAATGTTCTATCAGTGAGATACAGAAATGCTCAGGTTTGTAACCTCTCAGTGTTTTCTGAATCAGTGTCCTTAGTTTCCTGTTTCCTTCTAGTCCTGGTTTTGCATACAGAGACACAGTGTATTTCAAAGAACAGCAGAAATGACAACTTTTGTACTGAAGTCCTAGAAAGCAAAAGTATTATCTTTGCTTTAAAATTCTGGTCCAGCTTGGTGCAGACCCAGTGCTAAGCAGCACCACATTTCAGTTTGCGCTGATGTTGTTGGACTTCTTGCCTTAAAACAGCTGGATTGAGCTCCTTTGCTTCCATATGGAAGATGAAGCATACCTTCTAAATGCATCACATGTGCTAACGTGAGAAGATGAGAGCACACACTTCAAATACAAAAAGCCAAGTCTTCAGTTTTTATCTTTAATATGTAAACAATTGCCAATCCCAATGGTTTATAGTAATCATAGTTACTTCAAAGCAACAGATCTGGAATAAGAATTCCTTTAAAAACCTTGTTCTTAATGCTACCAGGTTTAAAAGCATTTCTGGAAATGCTTTCATACAACATTATTAGCAAGACCTAAATTTTAACTGTTTTATTTTGGAGAAGTGTTTCATTGTAATTGCCTTACTATTTACAATACGAAGATGTTCACTTTGAGCCTTAAAATTCTATTTTATAATTTTTTCTTTATTAAAGTTGCTTTTTTTTTTTTTGATCCAACTTCATTCTCACTGGGAAGGAAAATGTTAATGTCAGTTTTAAAGTATATTTTAAGTGCATATGAAAGGCAAAACCGAACACTTGCCTGTTCGGTAATGTATTTCCCTTCGTCTCACCTAAACTTAAATAAATGCTTCAGAGTTGCATATAAAAGTGTGTTCTTCACGTGCTCAAATAATTTTGAAAGAGTGCAATAAGATCAGGGGTGTCCTCAGAACTTTTCTGTGACAGCTGATTAATGGAAACAGGCCTTACAATATTTAAAAGAAAATAATAAAATACTGTAAAGTTGTACACAAGCAATGCTTCTAGAAGGTAATTATGAAATCTAGTTGTTTTTTTGAACAATTCTTCATATCAATTCACTTTGGTTTTAAATTATGCTTTCTTTTTCTGATAATCTCAGCCCCTTCATCAAAACTGGAAAGAAAAAGTTTTCTCAGGGGTACCAGAGCAGAAGCCAAGGAGTCTTTAGGACTATTTGCATATTTTAAAGGTCAGTATATTTGCCAAATTCTCAGGATCCTTGAGAATTAGCCACCAAAGGCTATGCTTAAGCATAATAATTTTACCTACAGACCATCATAACTGAACTCCACCATGTCTCAAAAAATCATGCAGAATCTACTACATTGGCTGCCTAGGCCAC